GCAAAAGTGGTGGAAAACTCAAAACGGTCCCTCTGGCCAGAGACATGAAGGGAGGAAATTGCTCTGATTTAAGCTCAGCTTCTTTTGGCATCAATCCGCCTTCATTTTTCTCTCTCAAAGCGAGGGCGTTTGTTCCATAGCCACTCGTCCAGATACAGTCTCATGAGATTATTTTCTTTGTCTGTCATTACATCCACAGTAAGCTGATGAGTTAAAGTAACAGTCAGAAGCCGCATATATATATATACATATATGTGTGTGTGTGTGTGTGTGTGAGAGCTTGTGTGTGTGTGTGTGTAAAATCACAAATGGGTTAACTTTGAAATGGAAATCCAATTATGTGATGGGAAGTGATTAGATCTGCTGTCTGACACAACAAATACTGCTGGCTATCAAATGGAGCGGAGCATTTCATCACCACTCTTGTCTTTGGTAACACTGTAGTGAAAACATCTACTCTACAATGCAACAGCTAAGGTCAGAATACCTGACCGGTCTAAGTATAATGATGACCTTTTTAGAAGGGTCCAAAAACAGTTTAGGGGGAGGGGTCGGTGAATGAGACCAGAAAATGTTGCATTTATTTTGAAAAGACACATACAGTTACATAAAAGAATGATGAATGTCTTTGTTTATGAAAAGCTCAAATTGATGCTGTTTCACCAAAAAAGCTACAAAGTTATAAAATGGATTAATTTTCTTTAGACTATGAAATCCTCACACGGATTTCAAAATTAATCGTAACATATGACAAAAAAATTAATTCTGATAACTACTGGTTTGATGAAAAGGAAAACTTAAGGGACACAATTATGTAAAATAAATGTTTAGTTTCATCATGAATCAGTTAGATTTTTGTACCATATTGCCTGGAAGCTTCTTGATTCCTATTCCCATTGCCAACAGGTGTTGGAAAACATTTCCGACACAACAGGCTTTGTGTGAGACAAGGCTGTGTTTGCATTAATCCTGAGGAATTCTGTCAGCTTTTCCCATAATTAGACATTAAATAAAGACTGTTGCTCAGCCCTGGAGTTTCATCTTTGTGTATGATGTGCTACTATCTCCTCAGCACACATTTTGATGCATTCTGCCAACCCCTGTTTTCTTTTTATAATGTCTTCTGGATTTTTATTTAGTTGAATAAATGTTTATTCATCCTCTTAACTTACTTATGTCCTTCTTGAGAGCCTGTCTTCATGTACCGGCTTCATATTTCTATGTAACAAAGTATAATGATCTAATATGTAAGAATAGTAAAAAATAAAAAAGGCAGAGAGAATGAGATTTACTTTCTTTAAACTGTAGTGAAGCGACTTCCTGCTTTGGATTTCACATCTGTCGCAGCACTTGTTCGGCTCTCAACAAACAGTGAACTCACTAAATAAAGTCACATTGATATCCAGATATCTAGGTAAGTGTATGTTATGCTCTTCTGTGGTGTGTCGGTGTGAGAAAGAAAATAAAAGGCTGATGGGAAAGGAGCTGTGACAAATCTTTGTTTAAAAGCGCACTTTTGTTAGCTTATAGTCAGTAACTTTTATTTATAACTCATTTCCCCTTATGTCTTCACGGCTGTGGAATGCTCCGCAGGTCAGCGGATCCGTGATTCCGGGCCTCAGAGAGGATCTTCAGCATGAGGCGATTGATAGCCTCCTCCCTGCTGAGTTCACGCATGAGCCAGTTTCCCCACAGACTCCGAGCTAATCATCCAATTTCCCTGTGGTGTAAATCGTGCAAATTGGCAGTGATAAGTCATCACTAACACAAAGGTTTAACAGGGCCTGTTTCACCGAGACCTGACTGTTCCCCCATTAACCGTGGCTGCATGGGGAGCTGGTTTTTCTGTGCCTGCCCTACTTGCAGGTTGCATAATGACAGCAACTGTGAAAACTCGCTCAGATGTTACTGCATTATATCTGGATGTTGGATAAAGAAACACAAAACATTTGATTGGCTTCTTTCTGACCTCTCCATAGATGCCATAAGATAATATTGTTTTCATTAATACTCTTTTAAATCAGTTTTAATCCAGGTAAATGCAAACGCGTGCTTGTGAGGCGAGAGAAAAGTAGCTCACTTTACAGTGGACATGAAGTTTATGCTTTCTCTTTCATACCCTCGACATCGATACATGCAACATGATACCTCTTCTAACCTACTGGAATATTTCAAAAAGCCTCGACCTTCACAATATTCAGATTTTTACACCCTTGTCCATGAAGACATCAATAGACGCTCTGCCAGGAAATCCAAAGTAGAAGGAGATGCTGAGAATGAGTTTGGAGAGATAGAGTTAGAGATTTCGACGCATCACAGAAGACACGCTGGGCTTAAATTCAACAAACAAATGCACGGACAAAAAGCCGAATATGATGTCGGCATCGCATGCTTTGAAGACCTCTCTACGTAAGAAAAGAGATTTAGGTGTTTTAGAATATTTGTCACAGTTCTTCATTAAAGCAAAGGCATAGTTGTAAAATACGGGAACCATGGCAAAATGGAGTTAGTGTGAGAGAGGTTTTGAAACTTTGAGGTCTTTTCCAGACAGCCGTTTCGAGCTATGAAAGCCAGCAACAGTGTGGGAGCCATCTGAGCCAGAGGAGGCTCAAGGACTTCATACTTTGAGACTTGGTTTCATATCAAGCCAACACTACTTCCCAGCGTAACTCCTACAGCTGTGTGTATCTGCCTTCCAGCCATTCATTTTCTGCACAGATCCAGCCTACTCCCCTCCACACCACAGTACTCCGGGATGTGCTCACACCCCGGCCAGTCACACCTCCCCCCATGAATCCTGATCATTCTCCCCTCCTGGGGGGGTTGAAAAATGTCTTATAGGCAGGAAGGAAAGAGGAACAAATACCCCATTTCTTACATCTCCTTTCCTCCTTTTCTCATCCATTGTTTATCTTCTTATTTTTACATTTCCTCCTCCTTTCCTCTCCCTCTCCTAGGCTGGCTGTCTGCTCTGCTCTACTTGTGCATCCCAGCAGTCTAGATTCTCTTTCCTCAGGTAATAACATTGAGACTGTGAAATCACCCCGGCTCCACACCCCTCCCTTCATCCCTATGTCCTTCTCTACCCTCTTCCCTAAAATCTCTCTCTCCCTCCTGTCCCTCTGATCCGCTGTCTCCGCTCACTACTTATGGCCAATGGTGAATATTTATGGCGTCTGCGCTTTATAAGTGCATCGGGGCACGATGATTTTCCCAGTTTATGGTCATCAAGGTGTTGTCAGGAGCCCAACGTGATGATGTTGGCTCTACAAGGTTAAAGAAGTGGAGCTGAAACCCTGCATATCTGAGCCAATCTCCACGAGCCCCCACACTGAAAGGATTAGGCCACAAGAACCACATCTTTCCCCAACATCCACCTACCAACTCAACACCACCTTTTAATGCTCAGCGACTCGCCATGGCGACTACTGGTTGATCTACATCTTCAGATGTGCCCAAGGAGGATGGCAATCCGGAGGACAGTAAAAATAATGTCACAAAGAGACGTGTGATTAATCAAAATAAAAAGCATAAAAGAACCATTTATTTCCTTGTCTATCTCGGATGAAGACAGAAACGACCCATTCCAGCCCAATTAACTGTCAGTGCTTTACTTTGACCTCTAAAATCACACAGGTCCACAGATAAGAAGTCTTTTATTTCAAAGTTTCAAAGTTTTTTACAGCTCTCGATACTCTTGCCTAACATTTTACATTTATCATCTGAATACAGAAAAGAAAGATATATTTGAATTGTAACTACCGCAGTGAATACCACTGGACCTCCACACTGATCGAAGATATTGTTCATGAGAGAGCACTACTGCCCTCTTGTGTTTTGGGCTCCTGTGTGACAGCTCTGTAACACTGCTTTGTTTCTAGTTTCAGGTGGTTTCCGCGTTTGGACACGTGTGTTGAAAGTGAATTTTTAAAAGATACAATCCAGATATGTAATTTGTTGAAAATAACTATTTATTATGACATTTTGTGTGATGAATAATGTATTGGTGAGTATTGTTAAAAAATATTACTTAGGAAACCATCAAAAGAATAACTTATGACTCATGCTATGAAGATTTTTTGAACTATTGTTCAATGGGGACTATTTGGGGACTATTTGGTCCAGAAAACGATGGACACAATCACTGTACTGTCACTCAGTTTTGTGGTAAAAAAACAAGAACTTTTTGACCCAACCAGTTTTGATTTTATTATTAAGGAATCAGATGTGAAAGTAGCAAAATGTTCAATTAAAGAGTTAATATTGTCATTGATTGAAAATTTAAATCACCTCTTCTGCTTCAGAAGACTTTGTGGCTTGTTAGAGAAAATGCTTGGAAATGACCTTTCCTCTGATATGAAAACAAAGATGTGAGACATATTTCCCACCTGACAATTAAATTCAAAAACATCTCATTGGCCTTAAGACCATAAGTCTTATTTAGAAATGACTATTTATAAGATGATGGAAGTTGTTAAAGGATTTAATCAAACGAGATGCAGAAAATCATCCACCTAAACCTCATTAAATATATGAAACAACCTATAATAAAAGCAGTGGTGTCATCAGCCTCTTCTAACGGCAGGACTCCTCACACTGGGAATGACGCAGCCTGGTCTGACAGACGGAGGCTGAAAGACCTCCATGACCATGGGGTTCCCACATAGAAAAAGTTGTTCATACATTTTCAACAATCATCTATTTTAATGCTTCTGTTATATCAGTTTGGAGACCTAAAATATGTTAATATATATGTGAATTTTAGGTTGCAAAGCAGAGGAAATGGAATTATGCTGCTGAAACCACCAGCCAGACTTCTTTTCTTGAGGGCAATTTTCATTTGGAGCTCAAATAATGAAATTGGAACTTTTTTAGGTTGCAAAATTCACGGTTTTAAGGGCGTCTTTGAGGAAACAAAACTAAAAAGTCAAAATCGTTCCTTCGCTTTATGTAAAAACAATCATTCGCTAAAACATGAAGAAGATTGAAAAAAATATTTATTGCTTTATTTGCTTCTACAATCAACAGCAGTTCACATAGACAGACTTTTACAGTACGCTAAACGGATAAGGAGAGTTTTTGCATTGTATGTGTCATATTATTAACAAACATCAACAGGGATCTCAGTTGTTTACTTCCTGAACATTCAATGTAAATTCAGTTTAACTTTTATGGTCATTAAGGTATAGAACAGGAGAAAAGTGCTTGTCCTAGCTCTCATTTTAGCTTATTTTGCTTCTGCTCATCTCTTACCCTCATTCTCCAATGAAAATGTGTGTACTTTAAAAAACAACCAAATCGTCCCTCTCTGAGTTTCCTGTGAAAGGGCTACATTTTTTCTTATGCAGAAGTGAAACCAACTCCATTTAACAAGGGAGGCTTACAGGATACTCTAGGGGCCGTGAGAATAATCAAAACACTGCCAGAGCCAGTAAGGAATACAAACTCCAGTTAAGAACAAAGGAAATGGAAATCAATGGCAGGATATGTAGATTTTCTTGACAGCTCCACACACAAATAATCTTTTGGGAGTTTGCCGTCTGTTGCCTTTGCCAGGTTAAAATAACAATGAAGCTGTGAAAAAAAATAATATATAAAATTCAGCACGCAGAAGAAAGGGCACAGCATTATACCTACTTAGTTTTGTATGAAGGTGTTCCAAAAGTAATCAATAAGAAATGCACTGCATTACTAACAAGGCTGGATCGCCCAAGGCATGGTCATAGCTTTAAGGGTACACCACCAACTTAAGAAATTCATTTAAAGCCAAACACTGCATTATTATGGTCTGCAGTTTAGGCCTCATGCACAGTTGTATTTGTCAGTTTGACGACATTTGAGGAGCTTGAGGAAAGCCTCCATCTTATGAGCGTCTTTCTTGAAGCAACTGAGTAAGGTGTAGTCCCTCATAACAGATTCCAGCATCTCTGGCTGAACGTCGTACTGGAGGAGAGCCTGTTCAGTCAAAGTTGTGGCCAGTGTTCCCTCATCCAACATCTGCAGGGGATGAGTAAACAAAAACACAGATTCAGAACAGCATGTGTGACAGTTAAGATCTAGCCTCATAGTCTTGGTTCAGTCTCTACAACTATCTTGAAATAATGATTTGGCCCACCTTTTTGATGAGAACCACCACACCTTGCTCCAGGCTGATAAGTTTCTCGGACACCCACTTTGTCTTGTTGAGCAGCATGTCAGGAGCATGATCGTAACGTTCCAGTGTCATCTGAAGGTAAACCAAAGGCTCGATCCAGGACTGGACCAGCATCAGCACAGAGTGGAGCAGCCATTTGTCCTGCAGGTTTGCAACACAGCAAATGTGATAAAAGCACATCTGATATTAATGTACTCGTAAAATTGGTTTCTAAAGCTTCAAAAATTGAACATCTGTACGTCATAAAACTTTGCTACAGTTAGTTGTGGCAGTTTTTCAATTAACTTGATTCACTCCGCTTAATTTGATCTTTTTACATCCACTGCATTAGATTTGACTGTGGTTTTATCCTTTAATCATCGTCAACATTATGTAGATATTCATTCTTTAAAATCGCAACTGTTTTGAGTTGAAACGCATGAATAAACTGGTTGTCCGATGCATGAAAGATTAAACAATAAATACTTCACAGAACATGAAAAGGCTGGACTTAAAATGAATAGGCTTACATGTAAACTGCAACTTTAAATTAGTAAAGAACCTGAGTTTTTTTAATTTCCCACAATAGAAAGGACAGACAAAATGGCCCTCACAAACCCACAGAGTAGCCTAGCAGAATATGAAGACTGTGTAACTTTTAAAAAACGTTTACAATGTTGAGGAGAATAACCCATAAAAAGAAACATTGAATAAAACTATGTTCGTAGAATGGAGATGAACTTTTGCTGTACAGCCCAATTGACTTTTACAGACCTTTTTCCCAAATGTCCGCTCTACTTTCCACCCTACTGACCAAGCTGACCTTTTTTACTAAGAGGCTATGCTTTGCTGGAGTGAAGACAAGTCGAAAGGTCTTTCAATATATTGGAGGCCAAGTATCAACTGATTACAGTGGTCTTTCATAAGGAACATGGTAGTTTCGCTCTCAGGTTCATAAAATTGTTAAATATCCCATTTATTATTAATTTTTCACTTATTTGTGGCATATTTTAGCAGTGGGACATCAGAGTTATGTCACACTGAGCCTGATATGGAAAAATTATTTGGCAACAGAAATGGGAAAACACACACACACACACACATATAATATATGCATTGGGGCAAAGTGTCATAAATCTACACAAAGTCAGGGAGACAAAATTGTGTGTATCCTGAACATGGAGCCTTAATACAGAAAAACTCAAAGGTTCACAGACAAGTGAAGTGAAATGCTTTGCAAGTAAAAAGAAAGTCAGCTATCTGGTGCTTACGGATATTTGTTGAATTTCGCTTTTGGAGCTGGGGATGAGTAAGGCTTTGGTGATGCATGCATAACCACCCTGGTTACTCTGTAGCCTCAGCGGGAATGGAATGAACATCTCCTCCTACAACAAAAGGAATCGGGGTTAAACACATACGTGAGCGTGTTCATCACGCAATTGTATGTTATTTGTCAACGGTATGATATCTTAAATAGTGCGGCTCCAGCTAACTGATGTGATCGGATTTTATCAGAAGTCCACGGGAGGGAACGATGACAAGAGCTTCACCGGGTGCTGCCACTCGAGACACAGCGGAGACATTTTGTTCTCCTGCGTTTTCTCATCTCTAGACTCTATGTAAGCGTCCCCTGACTAACAGCCTTGCATTGTATAATTTCAAAGACCATTCTGCCTCTCCAGCCGCAAACTGAAGGGGGGATTCAACAGGCAGCAAAAACCTTCCCTTTCGCTCTTGCAGCATTTCATTATCACATTCATATTACCCCGCTGTGGGCTTGCTTCTTCAATAATGCATCTTTGGCTCAGCAGAGAGATAGAATATTACTTTGAAGCTCGGTAGTGAGGTGATGATCATGTCGGAATCAAAAGCAAATAATGCTGAGTGTCTGATGGAAATGTGAGTACTACCGGTCTTCAATATTACTGAGAAGGCCAACAGAAAAGTCATTTTGCAACTGCGTTCTCGTACATTGTAGCTATGGAAATGCAGGACCATCTGTTTTCAGCCATGACAAGCACAAAAACAGTTGTTTTAATTCTATATAAAGCACTTCTGCTCTATATAGGAAAAAACAACCCCAACAACTATTAAACTCTGTATTACCAGCACTGCTTTTCTTCATTCTGTTTTCACATTTAAAAAAAAAAAAAGGTTTTATACCAAGCTCATGCCCAATAGCATCAAATAAAAATTTCCCCCTAGAGTAGTTAATTTCACAGATCAAACTTCAATCGAATCCCAGCCATGATGAAAAAAGAAAGAGGAAAAAGAAAATCTTTTGTGATCTGATGCTTTATGTGAGAAGTTATTTCTTTCCTCCTGAGGCCAGAACCCAACTCAGACTTTGCCCTTGCAATACTCTTTTGAAGCACGTGGGATTGCAGAACAGGTCAACTGTTGCTGCTTCCGCAGTGAATATTTGTAAGGACTCATTTTCAGTCAATGCCGGTGTTACTCACGAACAAAGAACACGACTCTTCTGAGACACGGTAGATGAGCTCGGCATGGTGGATGACTCGGTCTAAAAGTTTCTCCTGGGAAATGGTGGGGCAGCGGCTGAGGTTGGCCGGATCTTCTCTGCAGTCTATCGGAGTGCCCACGGCAAAAATATTGGGCCACAGCAATAGAACCCACACACACTGCTGCATGACTGAAGATGCATACACACATAGTAAACAGTTACTGAAAAATATGAACATGAAAAACACCCGCCTGAAACATTTATTGCAGCTCTACCAAAAAAGTAATACCAAATTTTCTTTTTGTTTTAGAATACATTACCAGTCATGTGCATTCTGTCCATGTTCGTCAAGCTTTGTATTGCTGACACATTGAGCTGACTTCTTTATAAAGCCAGAGGAGGTCATGAATAAAGTGAAAAAGTCATTCGGCCTTGCGTAGGTTCCTGTAAAGAGATACTGGTCTTCCCAAACTAACATTTTGTCATGCATAATACAGAGGTAGTGACCATACTCATGCACACTTGGCCCTAATGCGTCTTACTAATTCAAATTTATAATCATTTACTTAAGGCATCAGATAAAATGGATGTCAAGTAAACCATTTTTTTTATTTGGAAAATTTTAAAAGAGATAAAAAAAAATGTTTGCTAATCCCATTAAGATGATTTCTGCCATTGATGTTATCCCAGAACATGTAAAAGGTGATATGATTTGATATGAGAAATAATGACAGACTTGAAAGATTTGTGAATCCAAAATCTTGGAAAGGAAAGAAAAAGAAAGGAAACATCCTCTTTTTCAACAGAGGTGGTATGTAACATGGATTTAAACACACTTCACAAAGAATGATGTGGAAAAGGTGGTGTAGGGCTGCAACAAAAGCATCCCAAAGGAGGCCATAACGTAGGAGAGCTGGAAATGGCAGCAATCTGAAAAGCGTCCCAAATCTGTATTTATGCGGCACTTACATTCCATTCTGCTCTCTAAAAGATTGATGCGTGAGAGAGACTCTATCGAGAGAGAATGTTTTCCCAATCCTAATGACAGCATTTAACCACGGCAGACGGAAGCGCTATCGCCGTAACCTCAGACTACGCGAGGCTGCGCCGGTGGAGGTGGGCGTTCAGAGCCCCAGTCAGTTCTCCATTTCAGGGTTCTCTTTTATTGCCCGGAGCATTTGCTGCATTACGTACTTCATCTGTCCTTTGAATTACCTCTATCATGAGTGTGTTGAAGTTTGAAAAACCCTTGAAATGAGCCATTTTCCACGGTTTCATTTAGATGGGATCTAGATGACGGATCTTTCCTAACTTGTACAGAGTAGGAATAAAACTGTTCGTAGGCAGTACGAAACCCATGCAATCAAAGAGGAATGGCAAGTAAGGATCCCCGATATAACCACTTACACAAAGAGGGATTTTAATCTAACACTCAAGACACTTGAGCTCACGCATTGTTTTCCTTATTGAAGCATGTTTAAGCAGAAGCTCAAGAAAGCCAGGGGATCAGGATAAAGCAGGTGAAAGGTGTTGTGTTACTGACTTTAACGTCAGAGGGACGTTTGCTATTCAAGAGACCTGTGACCTCTTATACGGCATGCCAGAGAACTTCATATGGATTGTTTCTTACTTATAGTTACCTTTCTTATAATCCTCCACCTGTTTTGACAGCAGAACCTTGCTCCCGATTTAATTTTCTCATTTTAAGGCATTTCTTTGTCAAACCCACTTCATTGTAAAGAGGATTTATTAGATCGGGTTTTGCTTCTCTGAGGAACACCAAATTTGAACCGTTTTACTTGTTTTTGGTCTACAATATGACTTTATGTGGTATTTCTATTGTACTGTTATGAAATAGCTGCGTAACTCAACAGCAAATTTAAGACTGATTGCTTTTCTTTTAAATTATTTTTCCCCAATGGCTGATTCATCAAGACTGATATCCAACGTTTCCACACCTATTCTAACATGGGGTCACTTCGTACGCCGCACTGCTGTCTGGCTCACAAATGTCACAAGGACAACTGATAAGATGCTGAGTAGGAAAAAGCACAGAGCATGGAGAGTCTTATACATGAATGCATTCAAAGGTTATTTAGTTTTTTTTTTCTTCCCTCCAACTCGTGTTCCTTATTTTCTTATGTACTGTGAATTAGGGGACCGAAGACAGGTGACAGGGTTTAGAAGGAACGTTCATAACTCAAACCACAGCCATGTGGATAGTTTTGAAGTTTACAAACATCCACTGTAATTTATTACGATCTGTTTTCTGGTCAGACACCACAGGACATCTAAATGATTCCATAACAGGCTCTGTTGTGACGTTACACATCAGCACAGAGAAAAAAGAGGTAGTTGTTTATTTCATAATTGATTTCATTATGCTGGTACAACAGAAGTGAACTTGTTTGATTCTAAGGTGCTGGTGAAGGCAGTGACTTAAAAAAACAAAAAGAACTGAAGAAAAAAAGCATTTTACTGGAGCAGCAGAATGAAACACGTTGCCTGTTTTCACATGCTGTCAAACAGAGAAATCACATTTTTAAAAAGAGAAGCACATATATTTAATCATTTTGGATCGCAAAGACTGGATGGACTAAAATAACCAAGCTTTTCTTGAGCAAGGCACTGCTATTTTGGATTGAGGCTACATTGGCTCCTTGAGGCCATTTTGAAAACTTTGAGTGGAAAACAATAAGTTGAGTTTCTATGCTTGTGATGCACTGTTTCTTCTATTCTGTCTTTCTTCTGAGAATTTCAGATGATTTCTTTACTATGCTTAGGCTGATAAAGCTGTTTGTTTTGTAAACATCTTTTCATATCAAACAATGCTTAAAGAATTGTGAAAGCCAATAATACTGTGGTGCAACTGAGCATTTCCACATTTTATTATGTACATGTTTTTAACTTTTGGAAGTATTCCGTCGACTCTAGATGAATCTCTTAGAAATCTTAGAATATTTCTCTTTACCTGTTTAATGCTAACAATTCAGATAATTGGGGAATTACGGTGCAACCTGTTATTTGTGTGGACACTAGAGTAATTAAATTCAGTTGTCATTCATTGAAATATAAACATTTTGTTCCATTATCTGTTTAGGTAAAATCCAAGTGGAAGTGGTCAACAGGTAAACATTAGAGTTTCTATCTATAATCTGGAAGAAGTTAAAGCATCCCATTGGTCTTTATAAATTAATTGGACTTTCTTGTTGCATGTAGAGTTACAATTCCACTACAGTAATCTCAGTTGTAAAGAGGTGTGAAGACATAATTTTTGAGTGTGTATCTCTTTTACTTTTACTTCCTTTGGTCAGGGTAATTTAACGAATATTGTTCAGTTCTTATTCAGAGGAAAAAAAAAGATTTTAACTTGGAGTAAAATTTACAGTCAAGTTAGTCATTTAGCTGTGCAACAATACACTGACAGATACACAGATACAGATACACTCACTTAAAGCAGCGGACTGCATTGTACATAGGCTATTCCCTTCTTGGTCGACAGTATGCAAAGACTGGGTGGTCATCAATAGAGGAAGCTGTGACAGCGACAGGAAAATCTGAAATAACCTTTGATTCCTTGTGAGGGAGTTGAAGACACCCCCTCACCAGGCATGTGTAAATTGTGTCCACTCACAAATATATGTATGTGGTATTAGGATTTTTTGTAATAATTGTTGTTTTGAATTTATTTTTGGTATGTTTTGAGTTTGCCTCTAATTTCTCTCCCTCTCTCTCTCTATGAGGTGCGCCCATGACTTGACTGTTAAGGGCCTACTGTGGTCAATTGGCTTGGTGGCACTTACCAAGTGGCCTGGGGAGAGAAGGGGTTGTTTGGTTGATAGATTTGTTTATTTTTTGTTGTACTTTTTTTAAGTTAGTAGAAGTACTTGTACCACTGAGTGTGTTGTGTGTCTCGGTATACAATGGCTGGGTGAAAACTGTATGTTTTTTAATATTGGTATCTTGTTTGTGATAATGGGCTCCTGTAATGTGAACTAGATGGGCATGACCCATAGTGGTTTAAATGTGAAGATGAGATGCTGGAAGAGAGCTGCCATTTTGACAAATGCGTAAGGCTGTTTTATTTCCAAGGAGAAACCTGAAACTCCTACTCTGGATAATTGCCAGTCACAGCAATTAAGGATGTGAATACAATGTTAAAAAAATGACAAGACAAGCACACAAAAAAAGAAAATTGGTACAATGGCGAAAAACCAGCCTATCTCAGCTGTCACTGGATGAAAAGTGGAGTTCAACATGGATGGGTCATTTTTCCATCACATCACTGGGGTAGTGAGGCAGAGATGCTTTGTTCTTGGGCTTCGATCGTCCCACAGGTAATCCCCATCTATCACAATGACACCACCTCATACTACTGTTAGCACCGTCTGACCCAAAGTTAGCTGTTGGGTCAAATTTCCAGGCCCCGTAACCCAGAGGGAGGCCTGATCAAGCCCTGCTAAAGCCCCAGAAGTGACAGTGTAGATGCTGTTGTCCTTGCCATACACTGGTATGCCCGCTATGAGCTTTATAGTATTACACTGACTTCTGTTACCTTCAGGTACCTCCTCTCAGGTGGCAGGGAGACTAATATTATTTTTTTCACACACCAAGGACATCTGTACCATTTGTCTTGTCCAATGTATAGGCTTTATACTAAGTGCTGGCTTTAAGGTCTCTGGTCTATTTACCCCTACAAAGATATCCCATTTTTTATTATTCACCACGGCTTTATTATTGGAATAGGTTTTACCTCTGTAATACTATTGATGTTATTATCATGGATATTGTTGTGATTGTTAAATGATAGCTGTGGATGAAATATTAAGCCAAACAGCATGAAAATGAAACAAGAAACCTGTGTAAAAACGTGATAACCATGTGTCCTAGCTCGAAAATAACAGTAGATGTATACAATTGATAGCAAACCAAAAGATCCAGGAAATAATTATGTCTTTTATAAGGATTTCATTAGAGAATAGACTTTGCAAAGTCTGAGATTAAATAAAAGACAAAGGCAGCCTAAAATCCTAAACTCCGCTGATTTCTATATATCTGAGACATCCATCATTTTAACTCAAACTTGGTTTATTTTCTTCGTGAAGTCTTTCCTGGCCTTTAATTGGCAAAGTTCCAACAAAAAAGAAGACTTTTAGAAAAGCTTGAGGTATATTGAGTGGTGCATTACAATTCGCATGTTTAAGAATAATTAGTCAAAAATATGAAACATAATTACCTCCACTGAGTGCTGGTTATTCTCTCCTTTTAAAGGCTTATATTTGAGGTTAAAAAAAAAATCAAGATTAAGGGGCTTTTTTTTTATCCTTCCTGAGAAAGCAATGTTTG